CCAATAACCTCATTTCACCTGGTCAAGGAGGGAAAAAAATAAGACTTTTCACATTTGCATGCAAGAGAACAAAAGAAAGCATTTATGGTCCTAATACAAAGGTCTTAATATATGATTTGGAAAATGAGAACCATAGAATCATAGAATCAAAGAGTTGGAAGAGACCTCATGGGCCATCCAGTCCAACCCCCTGCCAAGAAGCAGGAATATTGCATTCAAAGCACCCATGACAGATGGCCATCCAGCCTCTGTTTAAAAGCTTCCAAAGAAGGAGCCTCCACCACACTCTGGGGCAGAGAGTTCCACTGCTGAACGGCTCTCACAGTCAGGAAGTTCTTCCTCGTGTTCAGATGGAATCTCCTCTCTTGAAGTTTGAAGCCATTGTTCCGCGTCCTAGTCTCCAGGGAAGCAGAAAACAAGCTTGCTCCCTCCTCCCTGTGGCTTCCTCTCACATATTTATACATGGCTATCATATCTCCTCTCACCCTTCTCTTCCTCAGGCTAAACATGCCCAGCTCCTTAAGCCGCTCCTCATAGGGCTTAAGGAGCTGGGCATGTTTCATTTGACATTCAAAGTAAATGAATCTTGGAAAACATACTTAAGCAAAGCAGAAAGTAGAGCATAAGGCCATTTTATATCCTTTTGGCATGTTTCATCATCACCTTCTGCTTTTGTCTTTTGTCTCCCCCATTCTCCAGGGTGAAGAAGCTGAAGGAGACTTTTACATTCATACAGCAGCTGGACAAAAACATGAGTAATCTTCGCACCTGGCTGGCCCGCATTGAGTCTGAGCTCTCCAAGCCTGTTGTTTACGACATCTGTGACGACCAAGAGATACAGAAGAGGCTTGCAGAACAGCAGGTCAGGGAAAGGAATGGCAGATCATCTAAAAGGGGTGTCTCCTTGATTTCTGGTTGGCTCGACTATTTATCTTGAAGATTTGACATTCCAGAGCTTATGCCAGGAGCTTGGGAAGTCCTAGGGTTTCTGAGCTGGTGGAGTCTGGAAATTGTGGTCTTGAAAAACAACTTCTTCCAAGCTCTGACCTCGATGTAATGCCAGCCTAATGCTTTAAAAAGTTAAACTCCCTATCAATCTGATTAGAGTTTTGATTTGCAGTTTGGGAAACAGTTGTGTGCCTAAATGTACCTCAAGGTACATTTAGGCACACAATTCTGTGCACTTTGATTTGCATCCTGAAAAGATGTGGTGGTGGTGGTGGTGGTTGTGTACTTTCAAGTCATTTCCAGCCTATGGTGAGCATAAGGTGAACCTATCCTGGGAAGATTTTTAGGAAGATTCCTATCTTAGGAAGGTGTTTTAGAGGAGTTCTGCTTTTGCCTTCCTCTGTGGCTGGGAGAATGTGACATGTCTAAGGTCACCCAGTGAATTTTCATGGCCAAGCATGGATTCAAACCTTGATCTCCAGCATCATAGTCTAACACTTAAGCCACTTCACCATGCTGGTGTTATATTGGTGATCACCTTGAGTAGATATGCACAGAGCTGTGGTTTATGCAACAGGTAGGGGATATCTCTGAACTGGGAAGAATTACATCTGGCCTTGTACCATGCCCATAATGCCATGTATAGCTAAAATATGACACTCTCACAAACCCTTTTCCAAACTAGAAATCAGTTATTGGGCTAAAAACAGGTTTTGCCACTGGCAAACAGTCCTGTACATGCTACGGAAAACCAATCATTTTATTTTCAGACCTTTGAGATGCAACATCCTAGGCATCTATTCTACAATATTCTAGTGACTCATTTTTCCAGCAATAACCATGGTTTTTGATACAGGCAACGTAAAAAGGGAGGAGAAAGAGTTTAAAATGTACTGAGCACCAGCTAAGAGCTAAACTAAGTGCTTCCTAGTCTCCAGGGAAGCAGAAAACACGCTTCCTCCCTCCTCCCTATGACTTCCCCTCACATATTTATACATGGCTATCATGTCTCCTCTCAGCCTTCTTTTCTTCAGGCTAAACATGCCCAGTTCCTTAAGCCATTCCTCATAGGGCTCATTCTAGACACTATGCTCCTCTTGATGCAGGTCAAATTCAAACTCTGTGTTGCAAGTAACACAATGTGAACATCAATTGTTAAGGCTTGATAGAGAGGAGAAAGCATGACAAGTCTATATACCTGCATTGTTCCAGAACCATGGCTGTCTTCTGGGACCACTGCCAGTTCAGGCTCTGCAATCTCTTTGCAGTGACATCGCTGAGAGGCAACTTAAAACTGACTTCATTTAGAGTCTCCATTTCAGGTGTCAAAGCAGTGAGGCCCAACATCTGGCTCTGGAAAGGACAAGACTATATCAGAATATGCTGGGAACACCAACTTCTTTGGGTTATTTGCAAATGTCCTTCCATACAGGGTATATAAGGGAGGCAATGCTTTAATGTGTGTGGATGAGAAGGCAAACTCTCCAGATATGGGGTCAGCTTTAGCACCGTAGATTAATCACCAGCTGCAGTAAATCTTGCCAACCGAAAGGTTGACAGTTCGAAGCCGGGTTAGGGTGAGCTCCTGACCTTCAGCCCAGCTCCCCTGCCCACCTAGTGGATCAAAAACAGTAATGTGAATAGATGAATAGGAACCACATTAAGTGGGGAGGTATTTTAGGCACAGCGTTTCGGAGGAAAGTTTACGAACAAAGAAAGCTCTTCGGCCAGCTTCCAAAAGATGCCCAATGATGAGAAAAAGCCTAAATATACCTATATCTGTTGTCTGTCTTGTCATTGTATTATTGGCATTGAATGTTTGCCATATATGTGTTCTGTGATTCACCCTGAGTCCCCTTCGGGGTGAGAAGGGTGGAATATAAGTACTGTAAATAAGTAAATAAGTAAATAAATATGGCTACCTGACAAGCGAAAGCCTGCATAGCATGAGAGGTGTTCACTCAAGGTGACTCAGTACTAAAACGTCAAGCTAACTTTCCAAATTAGATATCTACAACTTTATATAGGGATCCATTATTTTTAGTTGTGTGGGAGGTTGGAGTTTTGTAAGGTTTTTTTTTGGGGGGGGGAATCCTCAGGGCTACACATTTGGCCCCCATGAGCCACATTCTATCATAAGTGCATTGATTTAGACTTACCATGAGACGATCTGAGCTGTTATCTTCTTGATTTAGTTGATCTTGTGCTTCTGTATAAACTTTAAGGTGATTTTCCAGTTTTTCTAAACACTTCTCAAAGCTCTCTAGTTGCAAAAGGGCAAACTGAGGAAAGAAATTAGTATGTAAGTGAGCAAAAGAGAAATGAAGAGCTCCTCAGGGGCGTTCTTCTTACAGTCCATTAATGACATTTAATTCTTACACTTTTTGTTATAATCTTGAGAACCTGAACACAAATTATTTATTTTATGATATTAAATATGCAAAAAGCTTGTCTTAAGTATTTTGTGCATCATTTACAAAGAAAATAATACTTTTCTTCCTATCTTTCTGGGGAAAAAAACTTGGTGGGTTGGGACTGTTGGAAATAGCAACCTTCTCAAGTCTCCAATAGTTGTTCGTTATGTATATAATTGATAACTGTATTGTATGTGTGTGTATTGCTTTGCAGTTTTCCTTAACTCTTTGTTATGGGAGGGGCTGCAGACCATGTGACCAGAACTGGGCTTGTTCAGGACTCAGACTCCATTTTAGAATAATTCAGTTTAGACTTCAATGCAGTAACTGTATGCTTAGAGACGTCAACAGAAACAAATGTATTCTTTTAGAAGTTGGTTGAAACAGACTAGACAGAGACTCTATTAGACTCTAAGAACTGGGAAATGCTTTTGACTATGGATTTGATGAAACATGCCCTGTGTTACCTCACAAAGAAACTACTTCAAAACTATTTGTAACTGGATTGATAAGCAAAGTACCTATATGCTGAATACATAAAGTTTGTGAGTAAACCAACTAGGTTACTTTTGAAGAAGTCCGCTTATTTTTGTCTCTTGAGAGCATGATTTAAAGGCAAATATATTTTAAGGGAGAGTCGATGTTTTGGGGCAACTAAAAAGAACACTTCTGAAACTCTACTGTGTGTGTAATGCCAATTAGCTTCCGAACACAATTCAAAGTGCTGGTGTTGACCTATAAATCCCTAAACGACTCCAGCCCAGTTTACCTGTCCGAACGGATTCTCCCCTATGAACCATCAAGATCTTCTGGAGGGGCCCTGCTCTCGGTCCCACCACCTTCGCAATCGCGTCTGGTGGGGACGAGGGACAGGGTCTTCTCGGTGGCCCCTCGGCTCTGGAACTCTCTCCCATTGGAGATTAGAACTGCCCCTTCCCTCCTGACCTTTAGAAAGCTGGTGAAAACCTGGCTCTGGAATCTGGCATTTGATGAGTGAGTCAATAACTCTTGACCACACAGAAGAATAGGGATGAATAGTGATTTTATTCTGATGACTTGGCCTTATGTAGTTATATGATTGTATTTTAATGTGTTTTATATTAGTGTATTATTGGATGTGATGTTTTAAACTATTGTGTATGAATTCCTCTATTGTAAACCGGCCTGAGTCCCTCGTTGGAGGTGAGAAGACCGGTATATAAAAGTTCTAAATAATAAATAAATAATAAAACGTAATTTCAACCTTGATGCCACTTGCACTTTGATATTATATCTTGCTGGCAAAAGGCATTTTCCAAACATTTTAGGAAACATCATGCAAACACCCATCCCTCCCCCCCTTACAGCTAGATGTTAACAATACTAAAACAACCTTCTGAGAAATACCTGAAATTCACTTGCTTTCATCTGCAACATCCTTTCCAAACGGGAAGCCCTTTGAAGTGGCTGGAGTTTCTCCAGAAGAAGAGGCTGTGATGTTGGCGCTACCAGCTGAGTAATTTGATCCGCCAGCTCAGAAACCTGGAGGCTGCTTCTTTTGATGTTTTGAAGGCCAAGTTGTAATTTCTAGAAGGAAGGCAAAACAGATTGAAAGACATTAGGTCAAATGTGTCGAACATAAGACCCACGTGTCACATCTGTCCCATCATGTCATTTTATGTTGTCTTCCAGATGCTGAACTACAACTCCTGTATTCCTCATCATTAGGCATCACAACTAGAGCTGATGGGAGTTGTGAAATAGTAACATCTGGAACGCTGCAGTTTGTTCTGTTTAGACAGGATTCTGGGGTTTACATTTAGAAACAAGGCTTGGGGATATGATGTCTGGAGTTAAAATGTCCTTTATACTTTCTCCAACCTCAGAGCCACAAGTGTTGTTGGGATGCAATCACTATTATACCCAGTCCACATGGAAGATAATCAAGAGTGATGGGAGTTGTCATTCAATGAGCTTTTAATGGGCTGGTTTTAATATAAATGTTATTGTATTGTTGATGTTTCAATTTTATGTTTTAATGTCTAAATGTTGTTGTTTTAATATGGTTAAGGTTCTTAATTTATAATATACTAGCCATCACCTGCCACGCATTGCTATGGCCCAGTCTGTGTATATATGTTTTGTGTGTGTATATACGTGTATATGTGTGTAAATATATTTGTGTTTATGTGTATATATGTGGTTTTGTGCATACATTGTAATGTATTTTTTAATTTTTTTGGCTTTTAAAATATCTTCTGCTGTGTTTTTCAGTGTTTTTATGAGTGATGGTGACTTGTTGGCCTAATAGGTGTATTGTGTCCAAATTCGGTGACAATTTGTCCAGTGTTTTTTGAGTTATGTTAATCCCACAAACAAACATTACATTTTTATTTATATAGATGTTATTGTCTAGAAATTATGTTTTGGTTTTCACATGTATGTACGCCATTGAATTTTGCCATTATTATGTTGGAAACCACTTTCCAACATAATAGGGGTGAGAAGAGTGGTGTATAAATTCAGTAAATAAATAAATAATAAATAAACCTCAATCAATGGCTGAGACCGAATGAGAAACTCCCCCCTGGGCACACAGAATGGGCGACTTGAAGGTGCTGAATGGACTGCGCTCTGGCACCACAAGGTGCAGAGCCAACCTTAAGAAATGGGGCTACAAAGTGGAGTTCACGACATGCGAGTGCAAAGAAGAGCAAACCACAAACTACTTAATACAATGCAGCCTGAGCTCCGCCACATGCACAACGGAGGACCTTCTTACAGCGACACCAGAGCTACTCCATGTTGCCAGATTGTGGTCAAAGAATTATAGAATCTTAGAATCAAAGAGTTGGAAGAGACCTCATAGGCCATCCAGTCCAACCCCCTGCCAAGAAGCAGGAATATT